ATTCTGAAACTTGCTCTGAATGTCGAGTAGCTAAGGCAAAAGCAAGAAACGATGCAGTAAAAGAGCTGAACAGAAGATTTCAAAGGGTGGCTCAAGAAAACAAAGTAAAGTATTAGAATGACATGTGCAAAGAGCTGGAGATAGAAAACCAAAAGGGAAGAACATGCTCATCATTTCTCAAACTGAAAGAACTGAAGAGAAATTTCAAGCCTTGAGTTGCAATAGTGAAGGATTCTGTGGGGAAAATATTAAACGACGCAGGAAACATCAAAAGAAGATGGAAGGAATACACAAGGTCACTATACCAAAAAGAATTGGTCGACATTCAGCCATTTTAGGAGGCAGCACATGATCAAGAATCGATGGTACTGAAGGAAGAAGTCCAAGCTGCACTGAAGGCGTTGGTGAAAAACAAGGCCCTAGGAATTGATGGAATATCAATTGAAATGTTTCAACAGATGCAGCGCTGGAAGTGCTCACTCATCTATGCCAAGAAATTTGGAAGACAGCTACCTGGCCAACCAACTGGAAGAGATCGATATTTATGTCTATTCACAAAAAAGGTGATCCAATCAAATGTGGAAATTATTGAATAATATCATTAATACCACATGCAAGTAAAATCTTGCTAAAGATCATTCAAAAGCGGCTGCAGCAGTATATTGACAGGGAACTGCCAGAAATTCAAGCCGAATTCAGAAGACAACGTGGAACCAGGGATATCACTGCTGATGTCAGATGGATCCTGGCTGAAAGCAGAAAATACCAGAAAGATGTTTACCTGTGTTTTATTGACTGTGCAAAGGCATTTGACTGTACAGATCATAACAAATTATGGATAACATTGAGAAGAATGGGAATTCCAGAACACTTAATTGTGCTCATGAGTAACCTGTACATAGATCAAAAGGCAGTTGTTCGAACAGAACAAGGGGATATTGTGTGTTTTGAAGTCAGGAAAGTTGTGCATCAGGATTGTATGTTTTCACCATACTTATTCAATCTGTATGCTGAGCAAATAATCCAAGGAGCTGTATGTACTCTGTGAAGAAGAACGGGCATCAAGATTGGAGGAAGACTCATCAACAACCTGTGATATGCTGATGACACAACCTTGCTTACTGAAAGTGAGGAGGACTTGAAGCACTTACTGATAAAGATCAAAGACCACAGCTTTCAGTATGGATTACACCTCAGCATAAAGAAAAGAAAAATTCGCACAACTGTACCAATAAGCAACATCATGATAAGCGGGGAAAAGATTGAAGTTGTCAAGGATTTCATTTTACTTGAATCCACAATCAACACCCATGGAAGCAGCAGTCAAGAAATAAAAAGACACATTGCATTGGGAAAATCTGCTGCAAAAGACCTCTTTAAAGTGTTAAAAAGCGAAGATATTACTTTGAGGACTAAGGTGGCCCTGATCCAAGCCATGGTGTTTTCAATGGCCACACCTGCATGCGAAAGCTGGACAATGAAGACCAAAGAAGAATTGATGTATTTGAGTTATGATGCTGGCAAAGAATATTGAATATAGAGAATATATATTGAATATAAAGAATATTCAATATACCATGAACTGCCAGAATGGCGAACAAATCTGTCTTGGAAGAACTACAGCCAGAACGCTCCTTAGAAGCGAGGATGGCGAGACTTCATCTCACGTACTTTGGACATGTTATCAGGAGGGACCAGTCCCTGGAGAAGGACATCATGTTAGGTAAAGCAGAGGGTGACCGAAAAAGTGGAAGACCTTCAACGAGATGGACTGACATAGTGGCTGCAACAATGGACTCAAACATAACAACGATTGTGAGGATGGCACAGGACCCTGAAGTGTTTTGTTCTGTTGTACATAGGGTTGCTATGAGTTGGAACTGACTTGACAGCACCTAACAACAACAACAAGCTGAATCATTGTGTGTGAATCACAAAGACCATGGCAAGAAGGCCATATTAAGTAATTCATTGTACCACACATGACTTATTTATAAACATAATTTTAAGTGATAATGATAGTTGTTTTGGATTCCAAAAAGAAAACATGAAATATAAAGTGAATACATTTAAAAATTGAAAATCATTTAGGAAATACACTAAAATCTAGATATAACCTCATATGACAAGTGGCAGAAACAACTGACAATACAGCGATTGGAAATGACAGTAAGGTTAGCCTTTTCCTTAATTTTTTTTTAACTCTAATTTTTGCTCAGATCATACTTATATGATAAAAATCTAAGAACACACAGTATTCATATATTTAAATAGACCACTTGGGTATGTTACTTAACAAAATAATAAAAATTCTGAGATAGGGAGTGGGAAGGGTGCTTGGGCCTTGGGTATGGGAGTGGAGACAAGGAAGGTATAGGTAGAGGAGTTGCCTTCCTATTATCAACCACCAAAAGATACTTCCTTGGAAAGTGATTGACCTAGTCTGGAACATATATTTCTTGGTCTTCGCCCATTTAAACTCAATAAACTCTTACGTCTTTCTCTGCAAGCACATTTTGTCTGTGTGTGTGTGTATGCATGCGTGTTGCTGGGTCAAGTTATTTCTCTGATGGCTTTTTCTTCTTGCAAATTACTTACAAAAAGAAGGGAAACAACAACAAAGGTAGAACATCATTGTGATAATGAAGCAGGTGTATCTAAAATAGGATGAGTTTCACTTACATTTAAATGACTTTACAAAGCAATTTCAACTATCTTATCTCATTTAAGCCTCCCTATGAAGGAAACAGGTTTTAATATTCTTCTGATCACAAAGTGTTTCTCCACTATATATATTGTTTTATACCTAAATCGATATTGCCTGCCTAATAAGTTGATGTATTATCAATGGAATCTGGACTGAATCTGTAAAAAGTAGTTCAAGCACACTAGTTTTTATTATTTAGATTCTAGATCCTTAGATCTAGAATCAAGAAATACCATCTCCCTAAAAACCTAAGGAGGACAGTAAGTCTAGACAATAATACTTGGTGCAAGTGCTCACACTCCCTATAAATGCACTTCAAGAAATATTTAACAAATGTAAGAAACAAAGACACACAATGATGAATATAAGATCTTTACCTTTGAAGAACTCAAAATCTAACTTTGTTTAATTACAAATAAAATATAAGGCAGTTTGAGGTAAGTACCATAATAGGACACATGAGAGTCCTGAACAAAGTTTGGTACTGCAAGTCCAAATAAGAGCTACATGTTCTTCTCATCGTTTTCTTTAATTTACCCCCCTGTAGACAGTACAAGTCACTGTGAGTGAGAATTGACTCGATGGCAATTGGTTTGGTCTGGTTTTACGCAGTAGAAAGAGCCCTGCTGACCAAACGGTTGGCAGTTCCAATTGACCAGCCGCTCCTTGCCAAGACACTGTCTTATACGGTCGCTATGAGCCAGAATTGACTAATAGCAACAGGTTTGGGTTTTTTTTTTTTTTATGTTGTATTGGGAAATGTGCAGATATATGATAATATGAAAATGCACATAACTATTATAAGTTTTGCCAGTTGTTCTCTGGTTGTACTTAAAGCATTTCATCTTAATTTGATGTACTAGTCAATTTATGTATCTATACATGTATATCCACTTATCTGCTTTTCATCAGTCTTACATGAAAAATCATCAAAGTGCCATATGTGCAGCATATGGTGTACATCACCAATCACAATACAAATAATGAAATATACATTATTAAATAAAACTTTGAAAATATACCCACAATTCAACCTCCTAAACAAATTTATATTTTAGAAATTTATCCATGCAGTTTTTAGAGTAGCAAAATAATGTTGTATTCTACCATTTCTAAAAGCTAGTTCTATCATAAATATTACCAGTTATTATTTTTAATTTTAATGACTTATATTCTATCATACTGAAGTGTCATGATTTATTTTCCAAACAATTGATATGAAGTTTTCAAATTACAAAGTGTAGCTACAAACGGTTTTGAGTGAAAGGAGGAACTTTAAAGGAGTGTATCAGTTATATTTACATCAAAATAAATGGAATTCATTCAATTAAACAATCCAAAACTGCAAATCCTGTTATTTATAAATTGTGTGGAGGCAAATTACCCTTTATGTCCCAGTGTTTTTCCTTATATGTTGAAAGAGGGATTATGATGCCCATTGGAAGGATTATTAAATTTTAAAGTGGCCACAGTTCGGAGAGACAGTTGCAAATTACTATCCTCGATTTAAAAAAAAAAAGGTAAGGTATTATTAACATAGCACATTCGCAAATTTAAGGGCTCGAATAAAAACTTACTATGATGACAGAGACTGGAGAAACCCCCAGAGTGTGGCCTCCGGACACCCTTTTAGCTCAGTAATGAAGTCATTCCTGAGGTTCACCCTTCAGCCAAAAATTAGTCCCATAGAACAAAACGAGACTAAAGAGGCACACCAGCCCAGGGGCAAAGACTAGAAGGCAGGAGGGGACAAGAAGGGTGGTAATAGGGAACCCAAGTTCGAGAAGGTAGAGTGTTGACATGTCATGGGGTTGGTAACCAATGTCACAAAACAGTATGTGTACTAATCGTTTAATGAGAAGCTAGTTTGTTCTGTAAACCTTCCTCTGAAGTACAATAATAAATTATATAAAAACTGAACTATGAAACCCCCAAATACGGCTTCTCCCCCCCACTACTGACTTCAGAGTAAAACACTGACATTCTTTTGTGAATTGGTCAGCCTCTGCCACCGATTTTCTGGTGAGAACCACTGGGTGAGTGGTTTCGGTTCCACAAGGAAGAGCTTCAGCAGAAGCTTTCACGCAGCACCAAGGCTGGCCCAGTCGAACCCTGCAGCTGGGCTGCTCACGAGGTCTGCAGCTGGGGTTGTGGTCCCACTTGGTCGGTAGGTTGAGGAACGAGTCCCTTTCGCAGCCTCTGGTTGGAAAACTCTGAGCACCGCTGAGAGTAACACAGGCTCTGCACCCGCAGGGATTCTTCCCCACCCAGGCCTGCGAGGGAGCTCTGCGCAGGCGCGGCAGTTGTGCGACATCCGTCACTTACGGCCGGAGCGGTTCGTGCTGGGGAGTTGGTGGCGCGGTGCAGGGCTTTTAGGAACAAGCGGCTCGGGCGCGGGTAATCAGTTCCCCTTACTCCTTTCTTTACTAATTCCAGGTACCTGGGACTAACCGCGGAGCTTCCGGACCTGATGCGTGAACCCGGTCGTAGACTATCCCACCCTGCTCCTCTACTGCTCGTTCGCCCAGGTGGGGGTGAGGGGCGGGGTCGGGGGCTGGCTGGACTCCATCCTGGAGTCTTCGTGTTGAAATCTCCCGAGTAACTCACACCTCTTCTTGTTCTCCAAGACTGTTTTCCCGGGACTGTGGCTTGCAGGGTCCACCATGGAGCCAGAACAGATGCTGGAAGGACAGACGCAGGTACAAGGAGGCCCTGGGTTCAGGGTGGCGGAGTGCGGGGATGCAGCGAAAAAGGGGGTTAATGTGTCTGTGACCCGTGTTTTGTTTTCTAGGTTGCAGAAAATCCTCACTCTGAGTACGGTCTCACAGATAACGTCGAGGTAACTCGCTTAGTTCCTTTGCCGCATCTGCGTCTCTAAAGAGCTGGTGAAAACTTCGTATCTTTTTTTACTAGGTTTGCTTTGCAAAAGGAAAATTTTATTATGATCTGAATAGTATCAAATTATGGGTAGCTTGTTTTGTTAGCAGTACTAATACTCCGTGGTGTCCAGACGTAGAAATTAGTTTTGAGCTAAGATTTTAACTTTTAAAGTGATGATAAGAAACACATTACTCAGAGAGTCTATCAGGATCGTTTTACTTGGTGGCTATTGATGCATCTGTTGGGATATTGCTATGTAAAAACTGCGCATATTAAGAAACCTGTTTGGTCTTTGTAGTGTACTGGTGACGTCAGCAACATTTAGTCTTTACTTCTTTGCAGAGTTTAGTAGTAGGTGCCCTTGGAAGCTGTAATACACATAGTAGACCCTGTTTTTGCCTTACATGGTTCAGTCTGAATTGAGGGAGTACATATGAAAAACATACAAAAGAAAAGTGTACTTTTTATAGAGCTTTTTCATTTAAGTGCTAAGAGCGTATTGTCTAAAAATAGAAGGTATTCTTTAAATAGATGAATAAATACTGGAACAAATGAATTAACCAGAGCTATGTGGAGTTAGGAAAGTAGCAGTTTCTTGGAAGAAAAAATTTTTTACTAAAAAAAAAAAAAAGACATTAACGATGATTAAGTTTGAATAAATGAGAGCAGAACATTTCCAAGTGGAGTAACAATATGTACTAATAGCTGCTAACATTTATTCAACTCTTTTACTGTGTGCCAGCTGCTGTAAGTAATTTGCATGGATTTCAGCGGTGTAAGGCTTAGAGAAGAGCTTGTCTAAGGTCACCAGGCAGTAAGTGGGGAGGTGTATTTTTAATCTAGTCTGGTTGACTTATTTGAAGTAGGGTTAAGTAGATTGTTGATCTTGACTAACTCCTAAAGTTTACCGGAATGACTATACTGTGCCTGTAAAATTGCTGGAAATATTTATTGGCTTGCTATCAGTATTAAGAGAATCTGTCTCTTCATAGTGCAGTTTTTAATTGAAGTGATACGCAGAATCAGGTGAATATACTGTACATTATTTTGTGTTACAGTCATGTAAGAGTTTTTTTTTAAGGCATCGGCACGGTCTTTTTTTTTTTTTTTTTTTATGGTGCCTGTATATGAAGGCAGAGCTGAGATACCCTAGAGCAGTGATACCCAAATGTTGTTTCCCAGACTCTCAGACCAATTTCGACTGGTCCATGGTAAAATGAGAAAACATAAGGACAGTGGAGTAAGATTTTGGTAATGGTAAACCAACTTTTTTTTTTTTTTTTTTTTTGGTCATTCAGTGATTGGCCTTCCGTTCTTTTATAGTTTTAAAATGACTTTTTATAAATTAGTGGTGGTAGTAAAATAGTAATTATGTTTTTGATTTGTTTTTAAATTTTTGTTTGGCAAAATAAAAAGTTAACAATTCTATGTTAGTCCCTTAATTCATCATATTTTATTTTTGATTTACTTGTTTGCATAGCTGAAAAGTCTGGGAACCACTACTCTATGGTGATTGCTGCTGCTGCTTTTTTTTTCCCCCCCTTTTTCTTTTTTTTTGATGATTCCATTTTGTTTCCTTTATTGGCTTGTAAGTTTTTTTTAGGGGGTTGCTTTGGGGTTTATAATATACATCTGTAACTTATCACAGTTTACTTTCAACTAATATATCTCCATATATAGTATACAAACCTTACAACAATATTCTTTTATTTCTCTCTTCTAGTCATTGTACTATCATTATCGTGTATTTTACCTCTACATATATTATAAACCCCATGATTAACTTTTTTTTCTTTAGACAGCAGTTACCTTGGTTTTTTAATTGTAGTGAAAATACACATAACAAAACATTCACAAATTCAGTTTCTACACGTATAATTCAGTGACATTGATTACACTCTTCATGTTGCACAACTCCTATCCCTGTCTTTGTCTTAATTGTTCTGCCACCATTAACATAAACTCAGTGCCCCCTAAGCAAGAACTCCCTCTTTCTCCCCTCCTTGCCACCCTTGGTAACCATTAATAAGCTTTGGTTTTTATATATTTTGCCTATTTTATATATGTGAGCTCATACAGTGTTTGTCCTTTTGTGACTGACTGACGTCGCTCAGCATAATGTTTTCAAGGTTCATTCGTGTTGTGGCATGTATTGGGACTTCTTTTCTCTTCATGGCTGAATAATAGTTCTTTGCATGTATGTACCGTATCTGTTGATGGTCACTTAGGTTGTTTCCACCTTTTGGCTATTGTGAAAAGTGCTGCAGTGAACTTTGGTGTACAGGTTTCTGTTTGTGTTCCGTAGTTACCATTAAAAGAGATTTAAACAGTAAGAAAAAGGAGTATTTCATATGTAACCATGTATTTACCATTTCTGGGGCTCCTCATTCTTTTGTGTAGATCCAGATTTCCATCTGGTATCATCTTCCTTCTGCCTGAAGGACTTCCTTTAACATTTCTTTTAGTGCAGGTCTGCTGGTGATGAATTCTTTCAGCTTTTAATTGTCTGAAAGAGTCATTATTTTGCTTTTGTTCTTTGAAAGATATTTTTGCCTATTGTAGATGTTGCTCCTAGCTGACACTGTTTCTGATGAGAAGTCTAATATCATTCTTATTTTCTTCTCTATGTGTATGTGTTTTGCTGCTTTTAAGATTTTCTTTTTATCACTAGTTCTAAGTAATTTGATCATAATGTGTCTTGGTGTAGTTTTTTTTTAAATTTTTTTTTTTGTGCTCGTGATTCATTGAGCTTCTTGGACCTGTGAGTTTAGAGTTTTTATCAAATTTGGAAAAATTTCAGTCATTATTTCTTCAAATATTTTGTTAGATTAATTTCCTCACGCTTTCCTTTATCTTCTTGAACATATAGAATATATTTATAATAACTATCTTAATGGCCATGTCTGTTCTATCATCTGTATCATTTCTACATCTGTTTCTGTGGATTCATTTTTCTCCTCATTAAGGGTAGTTATTTTCCTGCTTTTTGCCTGCTGGATGATTTTTTATTGGATGCTGGGCATTTTCCACTCATGAGTGGTGGGAATATGCACTATTCCCAGCCTTGTGTGAGCTTCAAGAATTGTTCTGCCTGCTGCTTTAAGGTGTTTTTCTCCCGTGGCCATGGGTGGTTGCCTCACACACGTGCACTGATAAGTGTTCACCTGAAGACTGAAAGGCGATGTCATTAGTCTCTGTTTGTGCAACTCTCTCCTATCCATGCAGCTCTCCTTTCTGGCCCTCTATCCTGCAAATTCTGCGAGTTGATTCCAACTCATAGCAACCCTATAGGACAGAGTAGAACTGCTCCATAGGGTTTCTTAGGAGTGACTGGTGGATTCAAACTGCCGACTTTTTGGTTAGCAGCCGAGCTCTTAACCACTGCGCCATGAGGGTTCCTACTGTACTTGTCTTATTCTCCTTGTATTCTCAACTCTGTTCCAACTCAGGAAGACTGCTGGATGTGCTTGGTGTCTCTCCCTGTGCCATGTCCTGTAACTCTCCAGCAGTAAGCTGGGGCAATCAATCACAGAGCCCACTTCTTCTTTTCTCTTAGTGATCACCGTTCTGCACAGTTTATCAGTTCTTTTTTGTTTGTGGTAGTTTGGATCCTTTTAGATTAAGTTAGGATTTTGACTTAACTAAAATTAAGCCTAGCATTTGGCACGTAGTAAGTATTCAGTAAATGTTTGAGTGAAGTAAATGAGAGGATTTAGTTAAGGAGTTTATTATAAATATTATAGGACCTGTAGGAGTTGCTTACCATTGCTGTTTCTTATTGGAGGCATTGGAAGGTCACGTAACTGACTACTTTTTATTGTATAAAAGTACTGTGATAGGAAATTTGAAAATAAATTCTGGGATTTTGGAGTTTGTCTCCTTTAAGATTAAATTGTGAGCATATTGGATTTTGACCTAGGGATCTAGGAGAAAACACATTCAAAATAATATGGTATCTTTCAGAAATATCAAGTTGTACTGTCTTTTCCACAGTGGAAAGCTGAATTTCACAAAGTCTCCACTAGAATTTCAGAAATGAGAATGCGGTATGGATACCATTTGTTCAGATTTATTGATGAACAATTAATTTCTCAATCCAGGACAAAATAAATAGTTATTTTATAGATTAAATAGACTTTATAGAAAAGTTATTATCTAATTAAGTTCTAGAATTAGATTGAAAAATCATGGGCATAACTAGAAAACTTGCCTGGTATATTTTTGGGAATTATCTTTGGAAACCATGGTGTATATGTTGAAGATGCGCAATTTAAATTTTTTCTCACTTTTTACAGAATTAGCCTAGGAAAGTGTCTTTTTCTCTGTTGACTTTTATATACAGCTTGAGTATGACTGAAGCAAAAGCTTCTTTAAATGAAAGTACTCCTAAGAATACTGTTTTTGTTTTGTCTTTTATATAGCCACTTCTTCCTGAATTTCTAAAATGACAGATTTTCAAAGGAAGGCAAAAATTTTCAATGAAGTAGTTTATTATGCTATGGTTGTTAGATGAATCTATGTGAAATGCTTAAAATTTGCGGGTGGTTAGTAGTAGAAGGTGTAAGTCATTTTACTAAACTTCATTCATTCAAATATCACATTAATGATATTTTTCATGATTTTCCCCATTTTTTGGCATTATTTATTTAACTTTTTTTTCTTTAAATGTATTAATCTTTTAAAATCATGGATTCATTTACTTCAAAAAGAAGCATAAATGGAAAATCATTCTCATTGTGATAAATAAGAGGTTAACCACTAAAATAAAAACAATGAATACAAAACAATGGTAGTAAATTTTAGTTAGATTCTATTGCCATGGAAGGCTCTGAGCCTGAAGCCTGCTGTCTTTGTTAAGAAGGGAGTTTAGCAAGTGTTACAGAGGTATTAAAGACATAGTCACACCATACTAAGACTTTATCCTTGACGTTAATTGTGAGAGAAGGATTGAAATAGGCCTAGCTTTCTCATTAAGTGATTCATTGCTACTTAATATTATGTCCAGGTATTGTGGAATATACTCTAAGAAAAAGAAAAGAAAAGGGGCTTGTATTTACTTCTAAAATGATGAAAGGTAAGGGAGAAGGAATAGGATCTGGAGATATGACATAAAAACAGTGAAATATTATTGTGCCTAAGAGAGAAGCTTGAATGCAAAGTTTAAAGATGGGTCTGAATTTGTTCTTTTGGCAAGGAGGTTTGCAGTCCAGTACGAGCTTTCTAGTCATTGATTTGCTTTCTCTACGAGTGTCATATTTCCATTAGTTTGTTTTTATTTATTTTATTGTGTATTAGTCCATTGATTTTTATTTAGCACTCAAAATAATCTAGTCACTTCGGATATTCACGCATTGTTTTTAATTCACTAGAGGATAGTAGAAAATGAGAAGATTAATGCAGAAAAGTCATCAAAACAGAAGGTGGATCTCCAGTCTTTGCCAACTCGTGCCTACCTGGATCAGACAGTTGTACCTATCTTATTACAGGGACTTGCTGTGCTTGCAAAGGAGAGGTAAGATAATAGTATCTGCAAATGGAGTTACCATAGAAAGCAAAATAATTGAAACATCATTGGTTATGTATGTTATTTTTTTACTGTATAAACAATTTGTGGATATTAAATATTTTCTTTTAAAAAGAAATCAGCCATAATCTTATAAGTCAGATATTTTCATTTTTTTCTACTGGTCTTAAGTCATAAGCAGATTTGTAAAGATTCATAATCATGGCATACATGTAATTTTGTATCTCCCTTTATTTAATATTACAACAAAACTTTTCTTGCATTTCTCCATTGTCTTTGTGATTATGATTTAAATTGTAGTAATACCATTTTTCCATTGTTGAACATTTAAATCCAATTTCTTTTGTTATTATAGGGCACCAGGCAGTTTATTTTCATGCCTCTAACTTTGCCTTTGTTTAAAATTACTTTCTTATGATAGATTCCTCAGAATTAGCTTACTAGTTTAAACAACATGGCTGTTTTCATGGTGTTTGACATATAATGTCGTATTTCTGTCCAGAAGTTTGTCCTTAAAATTCTCCCAATATTACCATAGCCTCAGTGGCATTGAGTATTATAAATTTTTTTGCCAAGTTATTTTAATTTATACACCATTATTTCTCTTTTCTCTACATGTTTCTCCCCAGTAATTCTCACCTAAGTTCTTTCTGTGTAAGTAAATCCAACAAGACAATTTTTTTGTAAATTAGGTTAATCAACATTTATTAGGTGCATATCATGTTTTATTCAAAGGATAATAATGAACATTGTAGCAAACTGACAGATTGATAAAGAAGTTGTTGATGGAAATACGTCTCGTCTTACAGTAAGAGTTATTGATCTAGAATATATTAATTTTTTTATGTAAAAATTACATCAATAGACAATAAATATTTGTTTTTGATGTTGTATTTATAAAATAGGATTTGTTTATGTCTGCCAGGTATATCTTGGCTGTACTACCAATAACTAAAATCTGGGCATCTTTTTTCTTCCTGATTCTGTTTATTTTCTTCTTCTAAAGAAGGCTAATGTATTAGAAATAGTAAATATTAAAATAGTAAGTATTACTTTAAGTGCTGAAAGAAAAAAATTTGAAGAAATTTTTTAGTAACATGCTGTTAGTAAATGCAGTTTTTAAAGTGAAGAATCTAGAAAAATAATTTGTTCAAGTTAACTCTAAATATTATGTGAAAAATGTCTCTATGTAGATGGCTTAAAGGACTGTTTAAAGTGATAAGGTAATGTTTTATCAATTTTCAATGTACCTTTTCATAGTGAAGTCTAAAGTAGATCTTTTCCCCAACTTTTTGTCTTTGGACTTGTTTTCTCAGCAAGAATAATTTATATAAAAGTGATAGATACGAAATAATACGTTTTAATTTTGTAAATACGTTTAGCTTCTCAGGTGTACTGTGTGGTAGCATCATTAGAATTATTGTTGGTTTAAATTATTTGAAGAAAGATATATGTGACTTTTTAAAAAGAAACAACAACTTTTTCAAATGAGTGTTGCTTCCTTTGATGAGGCACTTGGGGAGTTCATCTATATGTGTCAGTGATGTGACAGCCATTCTCGTATATTGTTTTTTGTACTTTTATTGAAAGATAATATATATACAGAAAATTATGCAAATCATAAGTGTACAGCTTGATGATATTTCACAAAGCAAACATGCCCTGTAACCTATACTCAGATTAAGAAACTGAACATTGCCAGCACCCCAGAAGCCTCCTTTGTGACCCCCTTCAAGTTGTTATTCCTCCAGACTAATCATCATCCCATTGTCAGTACATTTGTGAAACTTGGGTTATAGAATTGAGTTTATAACCAGGCTTAAGTCTTACAAAAATTTCAGTTTCTTAGAGCTATATTGCTGGCTAACTTGCTTGCCTATCTTATTTACCTTAATATTTGCTACCAATGACCTTTAACTGTAAAATGAAAATTGATCTTAAAAAGATGTGTTTTAATTACATAACAATATGTTTAAGTTAACACATCTAGAATATAAATTTCTAAACTTTGAATTTCTTTTCCCTTTACAGACCACCAAACCCCATTGAATTTCTAGCATCATATCTTTTAAAAAACAAGACACAGTTTGAAGATCGAAACTGACTTACTGGGAAGAACAGAAAAATTGGTTTCTACTATAGATTTACATGATTAAGAGGCAGTTTTAATTGCCATGATTCCCACCCTGCCCCCGCCCTGCCGCCCTTTTTTTGGAAGTATAAGAACCTTCAGGACCATACAACTTAATTCTGGAGTTGCAGAAGAGAATATATTTACCTTATTTTGATTTAATCACAATACTTATTTAATGAGCATATTCTGTGCAGTTTTTTTCTCAGATTGTCCTTAACTTTAGTTTTTAAAATGACCTTCAAAATAAATAGTTAAAACGTCATTATTTTAAAGTAGTTTTTGTTCTGCATTTTGTATAGTTGAATTGCTTTCACAAATGACTTCTTGTGTCCTAGAATGCTGCAGAATTTTACAGGAGTGAAAATACAGCAGAGTCAAGTAAAATATGACGAATATCTAGCCATTTTTTCTCTGTTTTCTCCCTGGACTTCTCTGAGGGTGGGATCTGGGCATTTTTATTTTTTAACAAACATCACAGGTAACTCTAATGCACAATGAAGTTGGAGTACTGATATAAGCATTACAAAGGGTGTACAATATCCTCCAATCCTATCAACTTTTATACTAATAATAACTATCATTTTTTGCAACCCTACTATGTGTCAAGCATAGTACTATTATGCTTAAGTTATCTCTAATATAGCAACTCTGCAAAGTAGATATTATTCCCATTTTGCAGATGAGGAAACAGACTTGGAGAGGTTAAATGACTTGCTCAAGACCACACTGCTGGTAAGTGCTTGAATGGAAATTCAAACCCAGTTCTATTGAAGTGTTGCTGGTCGTTAAGTGAGAAGTACTTGCGCTGCTTAACTTCATTATTTCTCTTAGCAATGAAAAACAGCAGCCAGTCTCTTTTTTTGTTGGGGGGGGGTGGTAGAGTTTGCTGCCTTTGTCCCCTCCTAAGAAATCAAGATAACTCACAAGCTCAGGAAATGGAGAACATTATCTGAAGAGAGCCAGGCAGGAAAACCATTCATTAGAGGAGTGGTTCTCAACTGGGAGTCATTTTGCTCTGCCCACACCCCACATTTGGTGATGTCTAGAGACACTACTAGAGTGGGGTGAGTCCTACTGCCATCTAGTTGGTAGAGGCCAGAGATGCTGCTAAACTTGTTACAAGTGCACAGGACAGCTCTCCGCCCCAGTAATTATCCAGCTCAAAATGTCAGTAGTGCCAAGGTTGAGAAGCCCTGCGTTAGAAGCATACTAAAGACTTGTGTCTCCAAGCTAAAACGTTAGTGCCTTTGCAAAGTTAGAAATTAAGAATTTAATGCTGATGAGTTATGTCTTAGAGTTCTCTTTATGACAGTAAAAACTTATTTCAATAGGATTGATGCTTGGGGAGGTGATATGAATAGTTTTTATATTGTAGATCTATGTATCTGAATAGTAAAAACCTGGAAATATTGGGATCTCTTGTTTATATAAGGAGCCCTGGTGGCACATAGGTTAAGAGCTTGACTACTAACCAAGAGCTTGGTGGATCAAACCCATCCAGCTGCTCTGTGGGAGAAAGAACTGATGATTTGCTTCTGTAAAGATTATAGCATAGAAAACCCTATGGGGCAGCTCTGCTCTGTCACATGGGTCACTATGCGAAATTGACTTCATGGCACCTAACAACAACAACAACCTGTTGATATGGAAGTTTTCACAAGTGTTCTACCAAATTTATTTTAGTTAGTTTGACTATCTCATAAGTTAATCTATTCCAGTCTTTTTAGTGATATTTTAACATCTAAATAGGTACTAGGTAAGTAATCTTTTATTAATTATATAGACTATATAAGTATACATACCTATACATACACACATACCTGGTCCCTGAAAGCCTGATTCAATTTAGAGTCGAAGCTTGTGAATTTGTCAAAAACTTAAGGCATGCTGATACACACTTCTGGTTAAGGACCACTTAAAGAAAAAACAAAAAACCACTTGTGATTGAATTGATTCCGACTCACGGCAACCCTATGTGTGTCAGAGTAGAACTGCAATCTACAGGATTTGCAATGCTGTGACCTTTTGGAAGCAGATTGCCAGGCCTTCTTCCAAGGCGCCTCTGGGTGAGTTGGAACCACCAACCTTCATTATTTATAATTTTAGTTTTGGAGGTGTAAGTATGTGGTAATCTACTTAGTGCTGCTTTACTTCTGACGTTCTTTTGAACTATCTTCGACATAGGGCTTAAATTATACTCAGTCCTGAATTTGATAATTTTTGCAGTAAGGGCTGAGAACAGGCATGTCTTTTGCTGGCAGTCCACATGCCACTTACTGAGTATATACCATGTGCCAGGCACCATACTAAGTACGTGAATTGTCATTTAATCTTCACAACCATTTTTAGGTGAGGAAGCTGAGATTTGGTTAACTTACAGAGGTAGCAAATTAGGGACAGGGATTTAAACCCAGCCTGCTTGTGTAGAAAACCAGTTATCGAGTAGACTCTGACTCATGGTGACTCCATGTGTTTCAGAGTAGAACTATGCTCCATAGGGGTTTCTTTCTGTTTCTGTTGTTGAGAATATACACAGCAGAACATACACCAGTTCAACAGTTTCTACATGTGTGATTCATTGATTCTTCAAGTTGTGCAACCATTCTCACCCTCCTTTTTTGAAGTATTCCTCCCCATTAACATAAACTCACTGCTCCCTAAGTTTCCTATCTAATCTTTTGAGTTGCTTTTGTCAATTTGATCCCACCATAGGGTTTTCAATGGCTGATTTTTTGGAAGTAGATCTCCAGGCCTTTCTTCCAAGGTGCCCCTGCGTGAACTTAAACCTCTGACCTTTCAGTTAGCAGCCGAGCATATTAACTGTTTGCCCCATCCAAGAACTGCTTGTGTGGACACTCTGCCTAATGTAATATTACCTCTCAGGTGTTTGTAAAATATCAGTCTGTCCTTATGTGTTTATAGTAGAAGCCCTCTTACATGGCTGGTAATTGAAAAAATAAGTCAAAGTAGACAATTATATATGACACACATTGTAAACGGTTTTTTTTTTTTTTAAACTTAAAAGATATTTATGTAGGTAGTATTTTTATTTCAGTCTTTTTTTTGGGTATGTTTTCTTTGATTGGAATTCTGCATTGTCTTTCTTCCACATACCACACCTATATTGCATGGTCTACAAATTTCAGTTTCAGATTTTTTGAAAAGCGGAGCAAGATCTTAGACATTTAAGAATTTGTAGAATCCTAGATTGTTCTTGTGATTTTTTTTATTCAGTCTTCGGTCATCTTGTTTGCCTCTAATTTCACAATTGTTTTTATTGTCTTTCCAAAGCATTCAGCCTATTTTTTGTATAAACATCTTTTTCATTGGTTTACATAATATTTAATTGAATTATATAATGGCAGTACCTAGCTCAATTGGTATAAATAGGTTTGAGAACACAATTGACCCTTATTATCCAAAGCACACTGAGAGGAGAGAGCAGCAGTTGAGAGTTTCCTAGAAACTATACTAGCTTCAAGAGTTCAGCCTGCAGTGGGCATTTTTAGTGTATTTTACTGAGGCGCTTTCTCCAGTAAGGTGGTTAAAGGGAAGTCAGTTAAGAAAGCTTCTGCTATATTTTGGTGAGATATTTTATGTGTAGCTGGCGATTATAGAAACAATTTCTACCCTTTGACCACTTAATTTAATGGGGAAGATAAAGATATTGTTTAGCTATACAAATACACAAATGGAGTGAAGAGTACTATATTCAATTGAGTTCTTGAATTATGGTCGTGGGTGGGTTGGTGGTAGGACCAGTAGAGTAAATCAGAAATGCAGGTAGTCCCCGACTTATGACGGGGTTCTGTCCTCAACAACTTCATTGTAAGTTGGTTCTGATGTAAGTCGAATACCACGTCTTTTAGTTTTCATTGTTATTGCCTTTTATTATCAACATCTTTATAAATCCAGTCTTAATTTGTTTTTGAACATCTGTGAGTGAATATCTGAGAATGATAACGTCAGCAAATTACGTGCTGCAACATTGTATGTAGTAGTACATATTACTAACAATAAGATGTACCAAAAAAAAAAAAAAAGATGGTTACAAGTGCAGTTTGTTGTAATTTGCATACGTTGTAAGTTGGAGACTACCTGTAGATTCCTAGAGAAACTACAGACTTTGAATTCAAAAAGAGAGAAAAATAGTTTGGATAGAACTACCTAATTCTGATGATTCGATAAGAAGGATATTGAACCTTGTTTCAGTTTCATGTAGGTGAAGTGGGACTTTAAGATTGATAACTTCCTGTTAGAGACATGATAGAGAAGTTGTAGAGATAGCATAAAATACTGTAACCAGATATTTCCCTGGGCTGAATTCCAAAAAGGCATTACTAAATTGGAGATCGGACACATTATTAAACTGTAGAAATGAGATGAGATGAGAGAGCTGTAAGTGGCTATGACTGAGAATCTGCTTGTTTAAAAATCTCTAGATTTAAATCAGGAAAGAAGAAAAGCAATATAATAGCAGAAAATAGGTCACCAGAGATAAAAGTGGCAGTTGGTAGTGAAAAAAAATTGTCTTTTAAAAAAATTCTTGTCACCCTTTAACAAAAACTTTCTATTTTTGTCTCATTTCATTTCTGAGAATCCTAAATAATAATAATAATTGTATGTGAATATAAGTGTATGCAAATATATTATTCATTTTTATACAAATGGTAGCATACTTTACATATTGTTCTGCAGTTTGCTTTTTTTGAAGTTCTTTCCATATCGTGTACTTTTTAATGAGTCTAAATGGATATAACCTAATTTAGTAAGTCTCATGTTAATGGACAGTTTGGTTTGTTTCTAGTCTTTGGCTACTGCAGACTGCTGCAGTGAATATCCAACGTGCTGTTTCAGAGTATATGTACATTGATGTTGGGTTCTGGGACTA